TGTTTAAACTCACTCTTTCAAACAGATGCAAGTAAAACACAGCAGAAAATAAATAAAATCAAAGAATCAGTGGTCCTGTTGCTCTATTTCAGGGGTAGGCAACTCCAGGCCTCGAGTGCCAGTGTCCTGTAGGTTTTAGATATCACCCTGGGTCAGCACACCTGAATCATATGATTAGTTCATTCCCAGACCTCTGGAGAACTTCATGACATGTTGAGGAGGAAATTTAGCCATTTGAATCAGCTGCGTTGGATCAAGGACACATCTAAAACCTGCAGGACACCGGCTCTCGAGGCCTGGAGTTGCCTACCCCTTCTCTATTTTCACCTGTTTAGCAGAGTGGAGCATGCGCCCTGGTGCAGGTGTGTCGCAGCTGTCATGTCACTGGAAGAATCCGGGAGTTTCTCTGTGTATTTCACATTCCCGTGGCAGCGTAGCGTACTCGGTGGTTGTGCGGAAATTTAGAGGGGGGGTTCGCTGTAAAAGTTTTCTTCGAACAGCGGACGCTAATGTTTTTGTCACTTACGGAATCAAACTCAAAGTAAGGTCAGTACTTCCACACTTTAAATGCTGCACGGTCATACTCTCTCTCAAGATATATTATAGTATCCATTATATTATCCATTGTTGATCTGCACGCAGCTGTTGCCACGAATGTCGCACTCGCTTAGGTCATTGTCGTGAGACACTCACGCACAAAAGAAAATCACGGTTTTAGTAACGCAGTAACGCAGCGTGCTCACGGGAAAGTAACAGTAACCAAATTACCTTCTTTGCAATAGTAATAGCAATAGTAATCCCTGTCTTTACTCGTTACTTGAAAAAAGTAATCGGATTACACTAACGTGTTACTTGTAACGTGTTACTGCCCATCTCTGGTTATCAACAATCTAGTAATGACTGGTCTTAGTTTGTTCTCTGCAGGCCACTATGTCAAGCTGAAATTAAATCTGGCAATGAGCTAGAGTCATGTGATAAAGTCTTCCCGTGACTCCATGCAGTCCTATGAAAAACGAACACATCCTTAGTGCTTCCATAGGTAATTGAGAGGGCCAGTCACAGCAGGGGTTGTTTTAACACACTCCCACAGTGTTCCCAGACGTGAACATCACACAAATTTACTCCAAGGTCATACTGCTCAGTGCTTAGAGAAAATAAAAAAAACCCCATAAAGCCACAGGCCTCTGGAATTTAAATGTTAACCATTATGACAAGAGAATGTAAATAAAAAAGAAAGAACAAGCGTGTCTTGTTTGAAAGGTTGCTATGAGAAAGTCTCTTCTCTCTAAAAAGAACATGGTAGTACGAGTTAGATTTGCAGAGTTGCACCTGAACAAATCTCAAGACTTTTGGAACAATGTCTTTTGGACAGATAAGAGCAAAGTGGAGAAGTTTAGTTGTAATACACAGCACAGTGGTGGAGGGTTAATGATTTGGGCTTGTGCAGCCACAGGACCTGAGCGGTTTGCAACAGGAGCCTATCCCAGCTGCAACAGGGGAGGAGGCAGGGTACACCCTGAACAGGTCACCAGTCTGTCGGAAAGCTAACACAGAGGGGCAGACTATTCAAACTCACATTCACATGCATGGGCAATGTACAATCATTAGTTAACCTAACCCCAGTAACTGCATGACTTTGGACTGTGGGAGGAAGCCACAGTATCCTGAGAGAACATGATGACAGATTTGTGAGGATTACTGTGAGGCAGCTGAGCTAACCACCACACCACCGTGCTGCCTGCATGATTCAAAACAAGAACATTTCCTTCATTATGATCATTAGATTTTCCAGACAGTTATCTGTGTGGCCGCATGAAGGAGTAGGACATCTTTGTAAAATACACCATATTACTGAGGTAAACTATACATTAAACAATGCCCTTTCCATGACTACCAAATCATAAATAAGTTTGTGTGTAAGAAGCATTTTAAAGTTTTAGAAATGTGACAAAAATAAACTGAAAACTAAACCTTGGAATATGTTATTAGTTTAATTCCAAAATATTTCCAAAGCACACTTCAGTTCACACTGCTTGTGATTTTACAGTGTTCAAATGAATATTCTTAGACTTTGCATTCAACACAATGATTGAATTTGTATCAAGCTTCAACTTTTAAAAGTGAGGCTACACCTGAATCTTTCTTTGAAAAGGAATTGCACCTAAATTTTGCAAAAACTGTAACTATAATATGATATATACAACTCTTAAAAAACCCCTCAGTTTTACACCACATTCTATTGTGATACAACAACTTGGATTTCTTTTCAAGTTTCCTCAGGAGAACAGCTTAATTAATAGAACAGAAGTATAAATAATATCCTTCCTAAAATACGCATATCTCAGGACTGTGGGAAAGAGCAAGAGGAGTAAACCCACGCAGGCAAGACCACAACAGAGCAAATAACCCACAGAAAAGTCCCAGCCTGGATTTGAACTAGGTACCTTCTTGCTGCAATATAACAGTCCTAAACACTAGACAGCTGTACTCGTTTGACAGTCTGGATAATTTCATCGCTTCAGGCCCATAAATCGAATTCAAATGTGACACCTTTAGTGGGCCACAGCCTCAAACACGGAGACAAAAGAAGGCATTTCTTTGTTTGCAAGCCAAAAAAATGGTGGAACTATTATTCATTAGTGATTCTCATTTCTCACACATCCCATCACTAAGAAGATTTTAAAGTCAGTCTGGAATCATTACCAAATTATCCCACTTCTCCCTGGTGTCCATTGCCCTGCTCAGCTGCAGGAAAGTATCCTGCAAGCTCATTGGTCAGCGCGTGCTTCTGTCCTGCCCATACAAAGTATGTAGGCTGTCCTGACTGGTCTCGCTCCTGTGTATACACAAAGAAGGGGCTGAGTTCAATTGCCAGAGCCGACCTGACCAGGCCGACCCCACCTGATAGCTCTGAGCAGGGATGGTAAACTCGCCCGCTGACAGGATGCATGTACAGCGCCTCGGGGCGGAACAGGACGGAGAGTTTCTCTGCGCCGCCACAGTATGATAGCAGCTCCTGCTCGCCCTGCGGTTCAGTGGGGCTCTGCAGCAGGTGGGTGAAGACCACAGGTCGGTCATCGCAGCGCAGGAAATTCCTCTCCCTGCCGCACAGTGACAGGAAGGGGAAGTCCTCCTCGTAACGACCACTATGATTCATGCGCAGACGAGTGAAGAAGAAGACTAGGAATTCCTTATCTGGTAACAAAAAACAAATAAAAAATGAGGGCATCAGTAATGGTCTCACAAGTGGTATTAATGCAATTTACTTGAAAATAAAACAATTCAACTGTATATGAACGTCGCACTACAGTTTGTATAAAACATTTTTTATTATAACATAAGAATGTGATATTAAATCCATAATTAAATGTCACAGTTTATCATCTCAGTGTAACACAATTTAAATGTCTCTTTTTTCTTTTCCCAGTTTAATGTACAACACTACAATGTATTCAAGCTGGGTGCAACTTAAGAATCAACGTACGGTACTGTGAAATGTCACAAGTTACCTCTCATTTCTTTAGTCTGGTTCCTTGCATCCAAGAATCCAGACATTTTTATAATTAACTGGAATACCTGGTATAAGTGGTCTCAAGCACTTATTTTCTGAAGTATTTCTACGTCATGTGTTTAATGTACATAGCTAAGGAGCGGCCACATATGTAATACACCTTATAAGTTGTTTTTAATTTAAAAAGCGCAAATGGTTCAAATATAACCATTTAACATTTGTACATGAATAACAGTAAGACAGAAGGAATAAATAACAAACAGGAGAAATATATACAATCAAAAAGGAAATAAAGGCACACACTGGAGAACAAAGTGCTTGGAAGCAGTGCATTATCACGTGTATCATTCTTGTAAGTGGTCTGAATGGTGAGGTTTACTCAGACCATAGCTCAGATTGGTGAGGATGGTGGGCAGGAGTGGGCTGTGGGAGAACAATGTTTGTTAACAGTCTAAATGTCCCAGGGAAGAACCTGTTCATGAGTCTGGAGGTGTGGGACATCCTGTGCTCAGTAGTGGCGTACAAAACACCCAGGCAGTAGGACGGCTCGCTCTCCACTGAGGTGTGGTAGAAGACCAGCGGCAGCTTCTGTCCAGGTTATTCTTCCTCAGGATGCGTAGGAAGTGTAGCTGCTGTTGGGCCTTCTGCTTGAAACACTTCATGGCTACAGACGTAAGGGCTATGGGTCTGTAGTCATTGAGGCTGTCTATTCCAGTCTTTTGGAGGATGGGAATGATGGCTAAGGCAGACAGGTGGGAATGGTGGCATGAGTCAGGGAGAGGTTGAACGGCATGGTGAGGATTCCCTGACAGTTGTTTCACGCAGGCTTTAACAACATCCCATGGGATGCCGTCAGAGCCGTCAGTTCTCCTGGGGTTCACCGCAAGGTTTGATCCATTTCAGAGAAAGTTTCATTAATGCTGCCTAACAGCAGCTAACACCGCTAACCAACAGAAAAATTCAGGGCATCCTCATCACCTCATCTCAATATCATGTTATCTGACAGACGTGAGCTTAAGTGATTCACTGATGTGTATCAGACTCCATTCACAAAGTTTTGCAGCATCCTCCAGAATAAACAGATGCGGACACTCAGAATTCTAATGTTTGAGGTAAATAGTGGACTGACTGCCTGCTCTTACTACAGATTAATGCTGGCCAGAGTTGTTTGTTCTACAGAAGTCACTATAGCTACGATAATGCACATGATTTGGGAGGGGTAAGAAAACAGAATTCAGTCAACTGCAATCTACCAGCATATAGCGGTGATATTTTACACGCTGTACCTTTAAAAAAAGAAGAAGCCAGGAAGCTTAAGGATGGGAAAAAGGGGTGTGACCATTACACCAGAAACGGACTGAAAAATCAATGACAACTGGTCGTATGGAGTGATGAATACAAACTTTACATTTTGGTCTCAAATTGTCGGCAGTATGTACTGAGATACCAAACGGGACGGAAGAACAAAACACTATCTTCCCTGAGCCTGGACCTCAGAATTAATGAAGGGATGAGAACAAAAGAGTGTCAAAATCCAAGAGAGGTTCCAAGCTCGTTAGAATTATACAAACTGTTTAAACTGTATTTCCATGTATGTTTGGATCTTTTAATAAATCGTTACATACATTGCCCATTTTCAATTATAAAGAAATGATGGGCCAGTCAAGAGTTTTGCTGTGTACTGTAACGCTGTCATTTCTTAATGTCAAAATAAATAATAAGTCTGTGCTGTATGTTTCTTGGTTACCTTTAAAGCAGGTGACAAAGTTTTTCACTTTTGTATCATCGAGGAAAAGCTGCAAGTAGAGGAATGAAAGTTAACATGATATTTACTGCTAAAGGGAGACTCCGGATGTTTACATTTTGAAGAGCTAGTTTACTTTCTTACCTGTCCTTGATGGTCGATATAGTAGAAGTATTCTCGGATGCGTGGTGTGGGGCTCTGGCCCTGGACGTACGTAGCGGTCGCTCTGGAGGCGGTTAAGCCGGCTGGTCCGCGGCGCAGAGAGGCCAGAGCTCTGGCGCTGAAAGCCGCGGTCCGGAGGAACAACATAACCGAGTAATAGTAAATAGGCTCCGTATTAAACACGGGAACCGAAAATGTGGTGTTTCACAAACGACAGCCTGTGTGTTTCTGCTATTTGCACACCTTACACAACTCTGATTAAAGCCCCAAGTGTTTACAATCGAACAAACGTTACCCGGAAGTGTTTAAGTGGTGCAATGTGGTCATTTATTTTCTGCTGCCACCTAGTGGATGATATCATGCACGCGTTTGAAATGCACATTTAACGCGCGTATATTTCATGAGAGGCTTGACAAATTAGAAAAGAATAATAGAATTCTAATTGTAATCTTTACATATTAAATACCTGTGTTGTTATTTTACTTGGCCGCATCTAAAAATGTAGTGAAACATAATTTTTTAGACTTTGTAGATAAGAATCAGGTCATCCTAAAAAAAAAATCAGATGTGTTTGACTTGTCGGTTTGCGATAGAAAAATGTGAAGTCCAACCCTATGCTCCAAGGTTATGATAGATGGATGAAGCCTTTATTTGTCACATGCAAAGTTTACACCTGCAGTAAAATAGAAATCCATCTGTTGCACATTGGTCAGAAATGAAGTGAAGTGAATGGAAGATATATTTAAAAAAACAGATATGATTACTACATGTTCATCATTTTCATTATTCGTCAGTTTGTTTGTTTGTTTTGTTTTTTACAATTATTATTGTTTTGTTCTTATTCTTTCAGTTCAGTTTCAAATACTATTTGGTCTTTATTATCAGTCAATCAGACTTTATTGCTTTTTTAAGTCAGTTCTTTCAGTGCTAAATGTACAGCACCTGGTTCTGCAATGTCTGATTCTGCTGGTTCATATTGAACACCATGTAAAATCTCTCACATCAGCTAAAAGTGAAGATGTTTGAGAAGATATAGCCATAGAAATTATTATTATTATTATTTTTAAAAAAGCCAGGTGTACAGCATAGAACAAGCGAAGGTAAGAACAAAATCCCGACTATAACACATATGTATATGGATGTTACATGTTTGACAGTGACTGGTTGCGTTAGTTGGTACTAACCTCATAACCACAGAGTACACATTGTTTCTGTTACAGTGTTAGCTCATTGTATATTAACTGCTTAAGAAAGAGTGATCAGGTTTATTTGAATGCATCCTCTAGGAAGTTGGATTTAGATAAAGCCAGTACATTTGCAGTGCATCAGTTTCATTGTACTGTTCATGTATTTATTGTTAGCTGTTCCACTTTGGAGACAGAAGAGGAACTCAGCCTGCAGCAGCAGACAGACTGGTAGAAGAGGAGCTCCGACCTGTCTGGATCAGATCCCAGATACACATCAACAACTCAAGAGTTAATTCAAGGTGTAATTTTGGTTGCTAACGGGGCCGATGGCGCGATATGGCAGCCTTTCTTCTGTCAGTCTGCCCTAGGGCAGCTGTAGCTACAACTGTAGCTCGCCTCCACCAGTGTTTGAATGTGAGAGTGAATGAATAGTAGAATTGTAAAGCACTTTGGGTGCCTTGAAAAGCGCTATATAAATGCAATCCATTATTATTATAACATTGTTGCGTGTGTGTGTGTGTTACCCAAAAAGCCATTTTGCAGGACAGAGAAATCAAATCAATTCTTATAATTAGCATTTAAATGCATTCAGTTTGTTTGTTGGACGACAAAGAATCACTGAACACCGCCGTTTAAATTGTTAGAGCTATAGCGGGAAGTTGCCTTTATCTTTAATTATGTACCAAACTTTTTAACCATCTTAAAAAAAAAGATAAAATGTCAAAGCAAACAACTCCTCAAGAACTTGTTTTTAAGTTTGTAGTTGGAACCCATTGTAGCAGGAAGCAGGTATTTAGGGCACCTGGACTACGACATTAAGGATTTCTTATGAAGTACAAGCTTCTTTTCCCCCTTTTTGCAACCCTCCTCCATTCCACCTCCATTCTTACGTTTGCATATTAAAGGTAAGAATTGTGTTTGATTTGAACCAAAAACTTCCCCACATAGAGCACCTTGTAATAAAATAAAATACATATAAAAGTTCTTCCTGCTTAATGTTCAGGATCATTAGTTAGAGCAGTTGCACTGGTGAAACATTTTAATTTCATTACGGACACCTGCGCTTTAAGTCTACCAGTTCAGTTTGATTCATCCATCCATCAGTTCTCTTATTCAGTTCACTAGGGAGTTGGAGCTTATCCCATACACACCAGGGAAATGTCGCTGGTAACCTGCTAACCTAACCCCACCAACTGCATGTCTTTGGACTGTTGGAGGAAGTTCAAGTACCTGGATAGAACCCATGCAAACACAGGAGAAAATGCAAACTGAGTTCAATTCATATAGCACCAAATCAGAACAACAGCTGCCTCGAGGTGCTAAGTCAAAATATGCACAAAGGGTAAAGTGATGGACAGGGGTTCAAAATCTAAATATATATCGTTAGGATAGTACCAAAAAAACCCCAATAAACAATCAGAGTTGGTAACATAACAGGCTCTGAAATGGCACATTTGCTGTGGCTGCGAGTACCATTATAGGATAGGTCTTGAAGTAATCAATTGCTCCTGTATTAAACACGACTTCCCAGTCATAATAAAAGCTCCTGGTGAAATTTTAAAATATTGTTTTATTTATTTTTTATTTGAGAGCATTTGCGTACGTGCTTGTCATTCTGTCTATAAAAATGATTGCTCAAAAGGTTTTCAATAAATTCTGAAAAAAGTGTGTTGCATTGCATTTGGATAGTACTTGTTTTGTATTGAAGTATTTTGAAATGGGCTTTAACATAGCAAATAACAACAGCTTGCACTTGCACTTGTTTTTACTGCACTACAAATTTCTTTAAAAAGATGCAAAAAAAAAAATACACACAAAATACAATACTATTCCTTTAAAAGTAAATAATACCCTGAGAGTCAATTGCCTTGGTGGTTGTGCAAATTCCCTGCTGACTTGGCCTCAGGATGTCGCCAGGCAAGAATCAAGCGCACCCAAAGGGAATCAGTGGTCATGTGCGCAGCAGAGGGGGAGTGAGAGACGAAAGGAGCAGCGGCAGAGCATGGCAGTTGTAACGCGGTGTTGTGTGAGTACGTGTGCGTTAATTAACCTGTAAGTGTGATTTCCTTTGACGGGTTAACTAGTATGATAATAGCTATAGTTGTCTGTGCATTTTAAAGTTATGCCTCGGTATATTGATACCATATTGGTAGGATTATTTAATTATTTAATTAATTTGTACGCAGTTAATACCAGTGGCCAGAATCTCCTGCAATAATTACATCAAGCCGTTAAAGGATTTTTTTTTTGTTTATTGTTTAGTTTAACTGCTGTTAGCTTGCCACGTTCTTGCCTTACTACTAGTAACGTGTGCTATTTAGACAACTTATGGTGTTACAGTGACCCCTTATGGACATTGTAAAATATTGCTGTGTCTGAGTAGATGATGTGTTATCCTTGCTTCTTGGTTATCTTTGACACTACTAATTATAGAATTCCCTGTTTCTGTTTCCAGACAACCATGCTTATAGTCACCTATACTGCATCCGCTACAACCATAAGTTCATGTCTGGCTGTCCTCATTTGGATTAAACATGTCAAGCTCTGATGTAACTAATTCTTCTGTGGAGCGCAATTAAGGAGTTAGCCTACTTTTTGCTCACCATTATTGTACGTTGTGTATTGCAAGACCCCTTAAAGCATTTCAACCAATAAAGCAAAACCCAGCTATCTTCATGAATGTGAATGAAAATGTGATCACAATTTCACTTTTTTTCTTCACAGCGGGAGCCCTTCAGTGTTTAACCTGCAAAGATGTGACATGTTTAATGACAAACCCAGTTAAGTGCACTATAGAGAAGGCGTGTGTGACATCTTCTATTCTAGGTAGTCTCTTCTTTATTCCATCTTTTACTTTTCAGTGAGCATACATGTACTGGGAGGTTACTTCAATGTTAACAAACTCCACTTTGATTCTGCAGTGACATCATCTGGAATTAAGGTACCACAAATCATCAGGGGTTGTGCACCAGACTTCGTGTGTCCTGTCTTAGGCTCTCAGACATATTCAGCAAACCTGGGTATTTTGAGTGCAGCTGCATCTGTTGAATGCTGCAACAAAGACAACTGCAATTTAAACATTTTGCCTGGCAAGTACAGATAGAGTTTCTATATGACAAGAAAACAAGCTAGATAATAATGTCGGAGTCCTGCCATCTTCTTGACCTGGACGGTTAAATCTGAGTCACTGTAATGTTTTCTGTTTTTGAAAAAGATTTTGTCTTTCTTTCCTATTTCAGTCCCTGCAGATCAGACCGAGAACAATCTGAAGTGTTTTTCATGTGACCCCGGCTCCACTCAGTGTAACTCTACAGTGAAGTGTAGTGGAGTAGAGAATCGCTGCTTTCAAGCATTTGGTAATTCTCTTCAAACCTGTTTTGCTACCTTGAAATGTTTATACAAATTTGTGTTTTTGTAATATGAAAAATGAAACATCAACAAAAGAAAAAAAGCATTATATTCAAGTCAAGTCAAGTCAAGTTTATTTATAAAGCGCATTTAAAAACAACCAAGGCTGACCA